AATTTAATTTATTTAATTTATTATTTTATCTATCGCGTATTTATGTAAAAATGATTTTTTTCTTTTCTTCAGAATATCACAATTAATAAAATATTCTTATACCCATGTAGTGCATAATTTATGTTTTTGTATTGTTTTATAATACTTTTAGTCTGTGTAATTTGTATTAATATTATAATACTATATTAATTTATAATTTATCGCGTTACGCGTACGATAAAATATTGTCTACGACCCCCCCTCCCTTTCAAACATTTAACGGTTTGTCTAGACGCTTCATCAATTCTTATAAACGCTATTTGGTTTATGAAATTTAGTACATTTTCACCCCGCGACAAAATGTTTCCCTTACCTGTAGTTATATCATGTGACATAATATTAAATTACCCGACGTATGTACGAGTATTATTATCATATTATGTACAGTGACACTGCATAGTGTTTAAACCCCCGACAGAATACTATATTATGGTTAACCGTTTCGGTTAAAAATGTATAATTCAATTTGTTTGACGCGTCGTCCCGTATACCCGTTGAATTAGTCAGTGTTTCATTACTTCTATCTCACAAATGAAAATCGTTTTTAGATTCTGGTGGAGAATGAAAAATTAATAGACCGTTTACAAAACAAACAATATTACCGGTGATAAAAGTCCTACGATAAATTTAATAAAAAATATGAATATTATAGAATTTACATCTCATTTATATTTTTTTGTTTCACCGTATTTTAACCGTTGAACGTATTACCGATGAATCTAAAACGGATTAAGACATAACCGTATACAACTCTACGCACTATACTTTCTGTTGGAATGCGAATAATTTTTTAGCTACTAAATTATCAATGGAATACCCTACAGGATGCCACTTTTCTGAAATTGAAGCCAGATACTAGCAATGAAGTACGACCGCGTTCGGCTTCCCGATGGTCTTTTTACCGGCACCCGACGGTAACAAAAATAACAACTACAATAATAATAATATATATATTTATAGAAATAACTAATTTTTCCCCACATTAGAATATGATAACATTATGAGTTATTATAGTTACAGTTTCTCACATTTTTGAAAACCTTACAAGCGTTGTCAAAAGAGAAAATTAAAACTTTTTTTTTTTACATTTTTAAACCGTCGCGACGTCGACGTAGGTAACTACATGTAGTTTTAACTTTTTAATAATCTCTCGATTAACTATCAACGTATATGATCTACGCGCATTAACATCATAATTTTCATATTTGGGCGCTCGCAGAAAACTTGAACCACCAGCGATATGCCAAATTTTTCCTGAAAATTCTATCACAGCGAAGATTCATTACTTTTTTCGCTTTTTTGTACTGTTGCAAAGGATCACCATATATTATTTTACATAATATTACACATGTGCAACAGTGACGCCGGAACGATTTCTGGATCATGAGCACCTATAGACAGAAAATTATTTCCATAGAATGACCAAAAAAAAATTTCATTCTCTCCACCCGGAATCAGAACCTTTTAAAATATTCTGTTAAATCATTTTTAATACGATATAATGTATATATATGTTTATGTTTGATACATAAATAATTATATAATAATTCGGTTCGTAAAGTATTCTGAATTTCTAAGGCCATTGTTAAAACCATTTCCATATGAAGTAGCTGTGCTTAAATAACCAATTTTCATTGATCGTTATCATTATTGTGTGACCCAAGTGACGCTATATTATAACTAATGTTCATATTCAGAGTAGGTAAAAAAATACGTTTTCTATGAACTCATGATATGGAAAATATCATTATTGTTAAATGATAGAAAGTCGAAGATGTCATAGCGTACTCATCGACAACTATTTATTTACTGTTTGTCTATGAAATACAATCGGCATATTATTTAAAGTCGGATACGTTTTCTTGTGGATATATAGACCACGAACGCAGGGAAAGTTGCACCCATAGCGCGCCCCTCATGTTCCCAGGTCTCTACGTGGACCCAAAGAAAAATCGAATAATTACGTCTTAATCTTCCATGCATCTGCCCCCACCACCTTGCGCGTTCTGAAGCAAACCATAATCGTGCAAAGCTCGCTGACAGCCAATAAGTTGCATACAATCCGACCAACCCCATTTCTTGAGAAAATTGATGGAACGCGCTTGCACGAGAACTGGGATTCGTAAATGCGCCCAAGTTCGAAAATATCTTTAATCCTTTCGGAAATATAACACTGTCCGCTTGAACGTAAAACGCACAAACTTAATGATATGTTGGTAACTAATTTAGTTCTATTTTTTTTTTTTAATTACAAAAAACCATTAAAATATCGTCCACACAGTTTTATTATATTTTTACTTACTGAAATGTCATCATTATAAATATTAACGCTTTAATGTCATGCTTACCATCTGTAATGATAAAAATTAAAATAATATCTATTTTTTTTTTTTTTTTTGATACGACATGATTTTCACGCGGATGATTATTTAAAATCCGTTTCGCTTTATACACAGACATTTAAAAACTAGATTATTTTGATGAAAAATGAAGGACATCATATTTTCAGAACAAATAGACAATACATCAATTAAAGTTAGTAGTGCATTTATTTGTAGTAATTATTTAAAATGATTATGTTTTCTTTCTATTTGATAAAAATAATAATAGAATATGGAATGATTACAAACACAAAATGAATTATGTTTATTCAAAGTTGTGTTCAAACGCTGGAATATAAATAAAACGTAAATGTTATGAAATATGTAATTTTGAACTCGGCAGACTATTAATTTATTACAATAATTTGTGAATTTACAATAATGACTTAAATAAGATGTTATCGCAACCATCTCATTTAATTGTGCGACGTAAGTTCGGTTAAATGTGATTTAATGTATAAGACATGTAGAGTTCACCGATAAACAAACAAAATAATCTTTATATATGGTATTTACACAATATTTTTAAATAAATTGTTCGCAGATAACATTGCGGAAGTTATCATTGTTATGGTGCAATAAAATACATCCCAACCTACAGATATCTTGTAATAAATATATTTTTTTATTTTATTAGTAAAAAAGGATTTTAAGTTTCCTTGAAATCCCAAGTATAGGCCATTAATGATGTCGTTACTTCAACGGCTGTACGTAAAAAGTTTATAAATAATGTAATGGTATTGCTTAAATGTGTGTTTGAACCATTAACTTTCGTGATCATTTTTCTGAAAACGACTATTCTCAAACTGTGTATGTTTGAAACTTTTTTTTACATTCGATACTATTACATCGGAGAAAATTATTTTCTCAAATTATCTAAACTAAAAAATAATCCCATGCTTTAAGGATTGGTAAATGTTAGTTTTTGTTTAAAAGAGCCAGAATTAAAAGAATCACTACGCCTATGTTTTGTACGTATATATTATCTAGTTCTATCATTATTATTTGTAAAATAAAAGCGTACCTGGACATCATTTTTAAAAAAAATTATTTTTTTTGTTTGTTCAATCTGAAATTCTGTAAAATAATTTTAAATAACTTTAAGATTATTTTGTTTGCATAGAATTAATTGTTAGGTGAACTAAACAAATCGCTGTAGCACTTAAAAAACACATATTTATTACACATACCTGTATAGCAAAGAAATTAATAAGAAAAATATATTTTTCAGTTTTGAATGTGTCGTAGGAACTTAGGACAACTATATTTTATTAATTTAATTTAGTTTAAAGTTTTCTATTATTTTATTCTAAATCTCAAAACCTACTATATAAATCTAATCAGTGAAGAAACTTATGGAACGGATAAGGGTTCGTCCTTAATTGTATTTCATTCGAATTTTAATTTGAACTACTTTGATTTACTGAAAACGATTCTTTGCGGAGAAAACGAAACCAAGACTCATAAATAAATAATTAGATAAATTCAATATAACTATGTAAAAAAAAAAAAACATTTATCTAGGCAATGTAAATATTTTTAATTTATAAATGTCTATGCCACATTGAACAAAAAAACATTAACAAGTAATATTCAATTTTAAACGATGAACAAATAATAAAATATTTCGAATTATTACCAAAATGACAAAATTCAATAAAATATTTCTTCATTTTTTTACTAATCACCATTTGGAAACGAACTTTTTGATATTGAATCAAAATAAAAGGCCGATGAGTTGGTGTTAATATTAAACATGTTAAACAACATGATATTTTATAAGAATATTAAGTACGACCGTGGCATTTTCTAGTTATATTTCTATGATTGAAAAAAAAAAAAGAGTCCATAAAAGTCAATGTATTTAAAAAGAATATATTTCGAATAGAATTAAGCGAAATCAGTAAATTTGTAATGCATTTAACCAATATTCTATCGCAAATTGAACGAAATTTAATATTTTTGTTAAATTGTTCTGTCATATCATATTAATTATAAAATTAATTGAAAATTAATCAAATCAAATTATCGAAATCAAACATAATCATCGTTTATCGAGTGTTGATCATTAAATCAGTTATTTGGTTTATTTCGAGGGATTATAAAATGCCTTTTGAATTTTACTCGTCATGAGACGCTCACTTAAATCTGAGTTTGTTTTCCACCGGTATAACGATATATATTTTTAAATAATAATATTGAAAAACAACTCAAAATTGAGTTAGGTCAATATTCTCCTAGAAACACATAAAATATTTGTTCGGCTCACCAAACATATTTTAATAAAAAATATATAGGTATACACCGAAAGAACATTAAAAACACTATATAGTTATACGTAATATTTAATAATTAATTTATTGTGTCAACTATGACAAAAACATAGCCGAACCACAATTAATTAATTTACTTTCGGTCCATGTTTTTCATAACAAAAAACAAACGGTTGAGCGTGTTGTACGAAAATAATCGTTCTTAATTCTAACAATAATATCCTAATAATGTATACATGTGCACGCGTCGAACGCCAAAATCGTATCGGATAGCTACGGCTAGGAGAGCGAACGGAAGTCGTTTTACCTGGTGTGACGAACAGCAGCACGAACAGCAGGATCGAGGTCCACAGCTTCCGGGATTTCCATACGGTCTGCAGCTCATTGACGGCTGGCTGATCCATTTCGGCGGCGACGGCTCGTCGGACGGGTTTGTATCTTCTGGACCGTAGTTTGCGGTACGGTTTAACCATACATAAACTATACACGGGAGCGGCGAGTGTTTTTCAACGTTCTATTTACGTGGTGCCGGGTGTCGGGGATCCGCAGGAGGTGCGAGAGCGTTGCTGCAGCGCGATTTGCAGCGGCGAGGAGACGGATATTGTAATATCACGGTCGGGCGTGAACGTTACTGCGTCGGCGATAACAATGCGTGCGAGGGCCGGGAGCGGCGGACATCCGCGGAACGGGTTGTCCGCGGCGGGTAAGGGCCGGAAAAGGCACGGACGGGGCGCGAAATGAAGTTTTTCGTTCTAACAGCGTCGATCGAGTGCGCAGCGTTTGGTCATCGCAATGTCAACGCGTATTGTTCCGCGGACGGCGGAGGGAACCGGGAAGAAACGGACGGGAGAAAATGTGCCGAGAAAGATCGCGACGGGGAAACGAAGGGGGAAAAAAAAAAATTTGAAAACGAACCGGACTGGCACGTGCACGGTCGTGTTGTCAGCGGTCGGGCGAAAACGACGTGGTGGTGTGCGTTACGCGGCGATACTGAGGACAACGTGTGCGCGAGCTCTGTGTCGGTGAACGGGGGGCGGCCTATCGCTGAGACGATCCAACGAGTATAGAGAGTCGAGAACCAGAAAGACGCGGACGACCGTCGCCGCCGCCTCGTAACCGATGGCTCTCTCTGACGGCAGCGGATGGCGCCGCCGCCGCCGCCGCCGCCGCCGCCGCCGCCGCGTATCCGTTGCTCGGAATAATTCGCGCGCGCGTCCGGTGCGGCCACAACGGCTTTTTCGGACGCGATCGAATCGATTCGCGACGATCGCCTTTAGATCGACGCCCGGCGAACGGGTTCGGGAAATAAAATGAATCGAAACAAAAACGGTTCGAAAAACTGATCGTTTTCCACGATCGTGAAGCGTTACGCGAACGCTAGGCCGTCCCAGGGGTCGTGCGATTCTCTACGCGCCGTCGCGGTGGACATGTTTTGATTTCGATGAAAACCAGTGCGCGACGGTATCCGGAGAAAAATACATAAAAATGCCGAACGACTCGGAAACTCGCGCTAGAAATACGTTTTTTTTTTTTTCGAGGCGATTCGTACGAAATATCCGTGCTACCAAACTCGTGTTACGAGTGTAAGCATTATTTTAGACACGGGAATATAACACTCCCTACAAACGAATGTTAGTCAAACGTGCATAAAACAGAAAAACTTGACTGGGGTGGAAATTTCATTTGCTCCTGTCACAAATTGCTTTATCCGTATTCTACCGAACGAGCCACAAACTCGTTCTCAACAAAACATTTTTATATTTTTTTTTTTTTTTACAATCCTATGCGAGATTCGTTTCCAATTATTTTCCCAGACAATGCATTCATTATAATATAATATTATGTACTCTTTGCATTGGATGACGTATACTGCGGCGAATGTGAGGGTGGAGGGGGTCAAACTGTCTCATTAGCTTTTTATTTTCAGTGAGATCTTATTACAAGAATTATGCTTAATACATTTAATAAAAAAAAAAAAATATTGATAAGTTCGATTTTTTTTTTTCTTGTTAAAATATTTATATTATAACTAGACCAAAATCATTAGCATAAAAAGTATCCTTTATTTTCATCTCGACCAATAAACTCGAGAAATTTTACAAAAGCAATTGATGAATAGACGACGGACCTTTCAGGAAGGAGGGAGAGATGATTACACGTGAATAATTATTATTATTATTTATTATGAACTAAATCAATACAAAACTGATAGAATTAAAACAATAACGTTTTTTTTTTTTTAGTTTTTAGTTCGTTTATTCAAATCCCGGAAAAATTAGATAAAATGGAAAAAAATTATATTTGTGAGAAAAAAAGGACGAAACATTTAGATCAGGTGAGGTAAAAGTTCGATAGATAAATAGATCAATGATAAATGTATTGGTATTCTAAACTTAAAACCGATTTAACATTATTCTTGAAAAAACGATTATGAGTGAAAGAGGTCAGGTGGATCAGTCAAGGGCGTATTTGAGGGGGTGATGGGGCATTCGCCTCTTCATGATTAATTCTAAATTGATTCATTAAAACAAAATTACTAATTTTTTTAATAAGGTACATAAAACATTCAATTTATGCAAAAAGAAAAAAAAAGCAATTTAAAATTTAGTAAAAACAAACATTTTAAATGCTCAATGACAGCACAAATATCATTAAAATATTTAGTAACTATGAAATGTTTTTAATATTATAGCATAATTATTTAATAAATTTTTCTAGTCACTACGTTTAATTTTTATAGGATAACTATTAAAAACCTAATATTGTTTAATGGAAATCAGTTGTAACACTCCATTTTGTCAAAGCTTAACAATTATAAAAAAATTTTGATGTATTTTAGTATTTTTTTTTTTTTTTTTTTTTTAAATAAAAATTCTTTTGTAAAATCTTGTAATAAATTTTAATGCTTTAAATATTTAAATAGAAAATTTTAAGAATTTTTGAACACAAAAATTAGCGGATTTTCGTGGTTTTAGCGCTTTATTACAATTTAATATTCAAACCTTATTTGTATTAAAACTTCGAGTTAAATATTCAAGATTTTTTTGTCAAATTTAATTTATTACCGTAAAATAGGACGACTTGATATATTTTGTTGATTTTTTTTTTTTTTTTGTTCGTTTACGCATAGTTTTTTTAATACTTATGCTACAGATCTCGAAATAATATCGTTGCATCAAATTCTATTTTACCAACATTCCTACATTTTTTTTTTCCAATGAACAGTTTTTTTTTTTATATATATATCGACATTTTCGAAAAGAAACTATAAAAAAAAATTATCTTAAATTTTCTTTAAGTGGCTTAAAAAAAATCTTTTGAAAATTATACTCCTCTCGTTCAGAATTTAAATTAGTTATTCAAATTCCAAATTGTATTATATTATAATATAATTTCAACACAAAATCTTAAAATGTATGACATATTTTAAACTAATACATTTTTTACTAAAGCGTTACTATATAAAAATGCGAATGGTATGACTTTTAGTGAACAACAGTTGTCGTTAGAATATTAAATTACACTACTTGAAATTGATATCACAAGGAAAACTCATGATAGATCTTGATCACCGATGCACCATACATGGTAGGTATACCAGGGCCGTACTTCTGATTTGCGAGACCCAAGGTGAAGGTACTTGTAACAAATTTTAGCTGTTATATTTACCTATAAACATCAATCATTTTTATTATTTTTAATAAAAAAATTTGGTAGAATTTTAGTATGGTCATTTATAATAATGGTTTCTTTTTATAAATTTTATTCTAGGAAAAAAAAAAATAATTTTACAATTAATTTATATAACATATTTTTTTATAAATTCATCTATAATTCATTAATCATCACTTATTGATATTTATACAAATTTTCTTTAATACCATATAATAAAATAAAAATTAACTGATTCATTAAAATACTGAAGAACATAGTAAAAAATCATTATATTCATCAAAAATTAATTTTTCTGGTCATAAATCATGTGATTTTAATTCTTCTACTTTTTCAAAATTAACATCGCCATTATTACTTAATTGGAAGTTCACATTTATTTGACTTTCATTTAACCACTCCCGACTATAGAATAATATTGATCTTATTATTTTTAGTTTTTTGGACGTTCATATTGATATTATTTAGTAATTTCAGTTTTTGTTTTTCAGTATAACGTTTAAATGTTCGATATTTATTACGTAACTGATCACTTATTGTAATATAATAATATCATACACACAATATCAACAGCAAATCAACACACTAAAGACTAACGACAACATGAAATAACAAAATATGAAATAACTTTTTCACGGTGATTTATTTATTTAGATATTATTTTTGATACTTACTGATTATATAAAGTTAATATTATAAACCATATAATTAAAATGTTTCGAAAATAAAACAATTTTGTAAACCAATTTCATTACTCTTTTCATACGTGAGGTTCAAATCTGAGAGAAAACCGTGAGGCCCAGAGTCTGGGCCTTGCTTTCACGGCCCTGAGGTATGCTATCTACGAATGATAGTGAATATGAAAATTATTTATAGATCGCAAAATCGTCGTAATTGCAATCATGTTTAGCTCACGTTTGTGCCGGAAATAACGAAGACGATAGATTTTAAGCGCGTATCGTCTCGGTGATTCGCTTACGTTGAGTAAAATTAAACAGAACAAAAACAATTCAATCAGGCCGACACATGCAGAGATTGCGAATCCTTATGTAGATCCTTCTGATACACTACAGTTCGTGATGCACCACAGCTGTTTTGATATTTTCTCGTTAGGAAAAAAACATATTCTGAGTACGGGTAAACGCGCTTCTGTTTGTGATTATATAAACATGTATGGTATGTTTTACATACACTAATACACGTATATACAAAGGTGCGTTACTTGGATCTTCTGCAAATGATTATGGTAAACCTGTCCCTTAGATCGGAAACCTGCTGCTGCACACGATGATTACGATGATGTTCGCGGTCACGGGAGGAGGGAGAGGACCTGTCGGCGGTGGGTCGGGATCGTTACCTTTGTGCTTTTCGCGGAATATTGAAAACGTACACACACTTTTATGACACAAAAATTACAATTTCAATTTCAATAACGTTCGAGAAACCGTCGTGAACTCCCATAATAACACATTCCACGAAGCATTGTGTCACGTCAACTCCGTACGCGCGCACGAAAACGGGTCGGATCTCGCGAGCACATAACATTATAACGTGTAAAAAAAAAATCCCCAAGAACATATTGGATTAAAATGATGATGCTCGAAACATTTTAAAAAATGTTGCGAATAGCAGTTATCACTTGTAATGTTATGCGCCGTTATACGTTCGATGTTTGTGTTTCGATCCAGTACCGACAATAATACAACGTAATCCATCATTCCGTGTACGGGGAGAGGGCGAACGAAGCGATAATCACGTACGTAATAACCCGAACTGCTGTCGACTTTTTTTTCGAACAAATCGGTGCGAAGAATAAACATAAAAATCAAAAAAAGAAAACCCCAAAAACGCCGATACGTTCGATTAACGTCATCATTTCCCCGCGATTGAAAACACATTTTGTCCTGGCACAAAAGTGTTCCGCGGGGTGTGTTAATGGCAATATTGGGCACAGGTACGGTACTTGTGTACGGGTAAATAGGAGAATTATAAACGCTATCCATCGGAATCGTGACATTTTCACGGATTTCGGCTTTCATTACGCCACACAGTAGAAGAAATTGGTATTTTAAACGGACAATTTTTTTTTTTTTTTATATATTAAATTTTTATAGTGTATTCTTATTGGAAAAAAAGAAAAACAATTTTTTAATAATTTTATAGCTTACCAAGTCACATAGTAATCTGTATATATAACTAGATAATTTTTATTATTAATTTTTTTCAACAAATACATTTTAATACTAATTTAATAAAAACTTATTTTATTTTATAGTATAGGTATTTATTTTAAGATACAAATAATGTATTGATCAAGATTTAATAGAGAGTAGTTTAATGAAGTGGTTCGGATTATATCAGCAGCGAATGAAATATCGTAAGTCAAGAACCGTATTAACT